CCCAAATTTTCTCAAAAAAAAAAAAAAAAAGAGAATGAAATGCAGAAGCGGTTGCGGAAAACTAATTTAACGATGATGTTCACCTGATTAGCAAAACCGACACCAATGCCGAGGAGGATGCGGCCGGCTATGAGCATCGCAAGGTCTTTAGCAAAGCCATTAAGGGCCGCGCCGACGAGAAAAGTGACGTCCCTGCCGAACATCGACCACTTGCGGCCGAGCACGCGTCACCGTCGAAGCAGAGGACGCGATCAACGCCGTCATGTATAGCGACGACGTGAACATCGTTAAAAGTTGCGAGTCGAACTTGCAGTACTGATTGGTGTTGTGGTCCACCTTTTCCTGGTGGTAAACCATCTGGAAGAACCTCGATAGGAAAGTATCCATCGCCGTCACCCCTCCTTCGATATGAAATCAATAAGATTTTGGAATAGTATTAAGAAAAGGTTTAAAATCGGCGGATCAATTGAAGCCCTTAAAATATTGGTGGAAATCAGAATCATTAGCGATAAAAAGTTTAGAGACCAAAGTAAAATGGTGGCTAAAAGTATGTTTTAGCGACCAATAATGATAAAGGCCTCTAAATAAACATGTAACATTAGCTACCAAATAAGAGAATTGGTTGCTAATTCTATCTATAGTTTAGAAAAAAAAATTAATTAACTTTTTATTGAAAAATTTATATTTAAATATTAGGGTATAATTAAATGACAAAAATAATTTCAAAATACTGATACAGATGTGTCAAACATTTATTCATATTTGCATATATTTTATTTTCATAGATATAAATTATAATTTATAACTTAAAATTATGAATTGATAAATGAAAATTAACCATGGAAAATTTTTAAATAAGAGATCTAATAATTTATGCTTAAAAAATATAAAATTTATTTCCCTTATAATATATCAAATGTAACTCATTTATCACCTCTCTCAATGCTATGCCCGTAGATCGCATTTCATGCTATAAGATTTTAGGGACCGACTCTCCACTATTAAAAATATAAGATTTTCGCAGCACTTTTTTATACCAGTTTTAAAATTAGAGCTATAAATTGATATAAACAACAGTTTTAACCACTACTAAAAAAATTATTTAAAATTTAGTTTTTTAATAGTGATTTATAGAAGCGGTTTGTCGCCGTTGTTCTTTGTGCCCTAGCTCTAGCTCGACTATGTTCTGCATTCGTCTCCCTGCGGCCATATAATCCACCGGGAAGTAACAGAGATTGTCGACGACGAGGCAGTGAAGGCAATTAGGGTGAATCATGAGATGGTCGAGATGATGTCATGTTGCCGCTTGGAGTTTCGTCTCTTGACCCGCTTTTTTCCTCCTTTTTTCTCATTTCGGAGAGGATTGTTAGTGAGGAACTGGGAGTTCTCACTGCTCTGCTTCTTTTAGTCGGCTAGATCTCCATGATCCAGTAGAATCAGAGATCTTTGTTTGGCTGTGGGTTTAGATCCGGTGAGGCTTCTACGGCTCGTTGAATACTTCTTTGAAGTAATGTGCCTGGGTTTTGGTTTGCAATGAAAATATTTTTAGTTTGCATTTTGAATTCGGAGCACGATTCAAAATGCTTTTGTAACAGAAACTACATTTGTTGTCTTGTTTTGTTGCTAATTTATGATTTATTGTGAGTTATGAATTTAGATGATTATTGTGCTTATTTTTGGAGCAGATTAGCAAAGGAGCATTTGGCTCCACTCTTATCGTGAAGCACAAGGTGGAAAAGAAAAAGTAAGTAGAGAGGCGGCTCACTTGTATTTGACTTGTGCTTTATCCATGGCATTGCTTTAGCTTTGGTGGGGTTTTTATTATTTCTTCTTGATTTGCTTAGGTATGTCCTGAAGAAATCAGGCTTGCTCGGCAGATAGATAGGAACCGCAAGTCTGCATATCTGGAGGTAAAATCTTTGTTGTTGTGCACAGTTGATAAATGTATAAATTTCTATGCTTTGTAATGAGAACAATGCTCTTACAGCCATTGCATATAGATGTTATTTTTCTGAATTCATTACATGAAAATATATTTAAATTTTTATTTTTCCATGCTTATAGATGTTATTTTTTTGAATTCATTCATCTTTGCAGACCTTTAGGTGCTGCATTTTATATATTGATTTTAGTCATCATAATTTTATTGTTTTTGCAGATATAACTTATTTCTGAAGTGTGGAATCCATTCATTGTGGAATACAAGGATTCTTTGGTTGAAAAGGTCTGTGAGCACAACTTTGTTAACATAAAAGTCATTGTATTGGGTGTTTATTGTGAGGATTCATTCTTGATGTTATTGACCCGTTAGATTTCAAGCATGAAAACAAAACTAAAATTACTCTTAAAATTTGCTTCATGGCTACAGAAGTTTTGCAAGTGGCATGTGCAATTACTTATGGCTCTTGATTACTTGTATGTGAACCATATTCTTCACTGTGACGTCAAGGTGGGTAATCATAAATAGAACACTATTTGGATGTACCATGCACAAAATTCATGCTAATGATTTGTAATTGATCCAATGTTTAATTGAAGCTAATTTCTGAAATTATTAAGTAACATAAAAGTATCTAGAAATTGTCATTTTGTCTAGAAGAGACCAAACATTTTGCTATGATGTTCTACATACTTGTATTTTATTTGAACACATAAATCATTTATGAAATATCCAGTTATGAAGATTTCCAAAGTTTTTGTTGCCCATTTTTGTTCTTACAGGTGGTGATCGAGGGATGTATGTATCGATTGATTTGTTCAAAACATTATCTCATTTTAGTTGTTATGCCTTCATTCAAATATTCTTGTTTATGGCTAGCTCTGTAATCCTTCTATTTTGTATTGATGCCTTTAAATTTTTTTTCTGTGCATATTCATTTAATGGTCTACGGATGAATAAACAGTTTTAATTTTTTTTACTGTTTTAGGATTTATTATAGTTTATTGTTGTATGAGGATTGAGTCACTTTAATATTGTTATCATCCATTTTTTTAGTTACCGCTGACATGTTAAACAATTCTTATGATTCTATTTCATTATCAAGGATTTATACTGCCCTATAGAGCTTTATGATGGCGAAAAGACTTTGTTCACAATTGGCCTTCTTCCCCATGTCAACAATGAGTTCACTGTCATACTTGATGATATGCCTTTGAAGAGGTAAATTTTTATTTCTGATGTTTCATCTTATTAATTGTGTGTTTTCCCATGTCATGCCTTTTGCATTTAAATAGAACGGTATGCTTCTCTTTTTTTTTTTTTTTTTCAACATATGATTGTATAGTTGTCAACATATGATTGTACAGAAATGACAATCGTGGTGGAAATGATAGTTCTGCTGAAGGTGAGCGTAAGCGTTCTAGGCGCTCGTATAATGCAAAGACTATCAAAGTTGAGCTTAGCTTTGCAGCTAAAATCCCAATGCAATGCATTGTGTTGGCTAAGAGACTGAAAACACACAGGAAGCATTGGTAGTGCTTGATATCATTTTGCGACAACATGCTGCCAAGTAGTATGCATATCAAGTTCCCTGCATTTTTACCTTAAATTATTTTGGAATTGTTGAAATAGCTTGGTAATTTTGTTTATAAAATTTTTATGTATGGGTGCCTGCTTATACGCCAAGTTGAAGTTCTTTGCATTCGAATATGTATTGATATGGATATGGAGCTGGATCCCACACTGCAACATTACTAGATATTGATTGGCGTTAGCATGTAATCATTTATAAGTTCATATTTTATATGTTAATTGATGAATGTATTTGTAAAAATATGAATGAATATAATTTTCATTTTCTCCTTGCAAATCTTTGATAATGACACTGATGAATGAATATATTTTTTGGATTATGCTTTTTATTATTATTATCTCAAGCTTTAAAATTTGTGTTATTTCTTTATTATGAAATTTATATCTTAATTGTTATTGTCATGGAATAATAATTGGATAATAATTTTTTTACTAAATATCACCAAATTTCATATATATAATTTTGAGACCAATTTTTATCTTGGTCAATATAAGAAAAATGTAATAAATAAAATTAATTATTAAAATTTATTAAATAGCAACCAAATAAATATTCATTAGCTTCCAAAAAAATGATCGTTAATATGTCAAATTTTAGCGACAAAAAAAAAAAATGGTCGCTAAAAGCCTCAGCGACGAGGCTACTGCGACAAATCAGTGACCCAAATATTTTGGGTCATTATTTGCTTTAGCGGCCAAATTATCATTTTTAGCGACCAAGTTTATTGGTCGCTAATTGTCTATTTTCTTGTAGTAGGGGGAGTGAATGAAAGGATTAATCAATATACTAATTGGAAATCCCAATGTCATAGCCGAAGATTAGGCCTCCGGTGGCGGCGACCACGCAGGTGAAGAAGACGAACATGGTAAGCTTCCCCGGATAATCTTTGTCATCGCCATTGGAATCGACGAAACCGCCACCCGCCATAACTTCGACAGATCAACTCCGATGATTTAAAGTACGAAACCGTATAAACGATTCTTGTTGCAAAGAGCAGGAGAAGGAGATAATTACAAACTGAGCGATAGGAGAGGAGGAGAGCGAGAAGTGCTGGATGAAAGGTCGAAGCAGGGAATCGGCATTTATAGAACGGATAGTGGTGTGGGTCAAACTTTGGGTGAAAGTTATTGTGACATGTCGAGTTTATCCATTGCGGAATTAGGGAGTCGGCATTCTCCATTAAGGATTTCAGAGATAATCACAACTCGATCTGCACAGTCGATAGAGAAGTATTACCTTCTAAGTTGATTTGTCTTATGAATTACTCGAACAAATTTCGGATTCTTTGCATCCTGCGTTTCCATTATTGGGGCGAGGCAGTGAATCAATGATAGGGACTTTTTTCAGGTCTCCTAAACAAAAGAATGCGATTAAGACCATCTCACAGAAGGCCAAAAATATGTGTGGCATCGTTTGGTCGTTTCAACTGAACCCTAAATCTTTCGTTGTTTGCTTGCGGGTAAATAGTTCACCAACGCATTTTTTCTGTCTCAATTGAATTTGCGGAAGAAACGCGCCAAGAGAAAGACTGTTACCCTTCTCAAAAATCGCAAAATGTAGTTCGATTGTAGATGAATCACGGTATTTTTAAGTTTCACTGTATTTTGGAGTGAAAAATGAGATTTTTGGTCGGAGATGCCCTAAGCAAACCTCGCTACGCTTAAGTTGAGTGCCTATTGTGTGGAATTCTATCTCAAAATTTCTATACATACTTTTATACAAGTATTTAAAAGATAATATATATGTGATTTTCTAATTTAATTTTACTCTTTCATTAAATAACATGACAACAAAAAAAATTCAAAATCTTATCATTTATATCACTTCACAGTTTTTTCATTTAAGACTTCGTTTAAGATAGTTTTCTAACCATTTTATTAAAATTTTTAGGATAATTTTTTTTTTTTGTAAAAATGAAAAAATAATGTCCAAAAGCTATCTCAAACTAAGTCGAGCATGATTGACAAGTTAGAGATGAGAAGAGACTTTATACTTCCTTCAAAAATATATCAATACCATTTAAATAACTTTTTTTTTTATTAAGAGGCAATTTGGTTGGATTACTTTAAGGCGCAAAGTACTCAAAATGTAAGAATTCTATAAATTTTGATGTTTGAGTGAAATGCAAAATGATACAAGTACATTTTGAGTGTAAATCAAAATCCTCTGATTTTGAGTAACAATCGTTTACATCACAAACTTGCTTGACCGCCACCTGCTGGCAGCCCCGTAGCCCTCCGCCGCTCACTGCAGCCCGTAGCCCTCCTTGGCCCATCACCACCTAGCCGCCGACAACGACCACCGCCCATCGCCATCTTTTGCCGGTTTTCACCGTCACCGGCTATCCCCATTTAGGACTTTACATTTATTACTTTTAACTAAGCCAAAAAAAAAATCATTCACCAACATTTACTTTTCATTCGTCCAAATAATTTTAAAATATTTCTATTTCAGCCAACCAAGCAGTCGATAAGAGATTTTTCATTTTAACTTCATAAATTTTATTCTTAATACATAAAGAAGGCGATTTTTTAAGTTTTACTTCTGTACAATCTGTTATTTGGCTCAAACAATTGCTGGATTTTTTTTTTTTACCTTTCTCTCAACTGCACGTGCAAAAGTTCTCTATTTTTATACTGATTTATAGAAAACCAGTCAAACCATATATTGGTCCCTCCTCTCGATCGGTACACAGAGAAAACTATTTTAGCTAAGAGACTCGAGAGATTATTTTGTGCGGACTTCGGACATAGCTTATCATCTAGAGATGAATCAAGTGCAGCTACGTCATCCAGTATCGAACAGTACCGAGCTACGATACCAAGTAGGGGGTGAGGTGGCGCATTTTCTTTGGGCTTTGGACCGCATTCTGAGGTCGATTAGCTGATTTACTTTAGGATCAAATTATCACTATTTATTTCTTATCATATTATAAAAATTTAATCTTGACAAAATAATTCAGAATAAATAGATTTTTAGAACCCTCAATCCTTTCTCGATCACATTGTTCGACACTTTGACGGTAGCCACCTGTACATTCCTCCTCTCCTTCTACTTGCAACCTACAAGTTCTCGTAGATTTGTAACTACTTATCGGATTTTTTTTTTTTAGAGTGCATCATCATATGTTCTGATAGAAGATTTTAGCTACCTACTTTTATTTTTGTGTTTGAAGAACAATACAATAACAAGCACAAACACACGATTCTTACTAATCTATTAAATGAAAGATATTGGCAAATACACGTCATCATCATCACGCCAATGCATACCAAGCTGATCAAGGCCGACGCATCTCATCAAGACTAATGCTAATATATGTTATCAACGTTAAGGCTATACACATTATCAATAACGTCATCGATGCATATCATCTTCAATATGTTTAATACATACTATTGACATCAATACTAACACACATCATTGCCAATAAGACAATGCACTTTATCAACATCAATATTGATGTACTAACTAACCAATAATGTTGATGTTTGTCACTGTGCTAACACTATATATCTATCAATTTTGTTTCCTGGCATCACCAATAACAAAGTTGCACACCAACACCAATAAAGTGAATACATATTATTAATATGAATGTAAAAACAAACCTTCAATGCATAATATCGACACCAATGCAAGCACTTGCTAAATTTTTTGCCTCCATTTGTCATCAAAACGAATAAGTCAAATGCATAACATTGATATCAATGATGAAACAGACCATTGCCAATAAAGTTGTTGTACGTACACCATCAACACCAATGCTAGTGGCAATCGTGTCACAAATAATGTTCATTCTACTTATGATGAAAAATGTTGATATACTTTGTTGATAACAACTCTAACGCAAGTTATCATTAATTAATAAGTTTAATCTATACCATCAACAACACTATTAATGCATGCCATTGCCAACAAGGGTTGGCACCCGCCATTAACATCAAATATAACACATATCGTCAATCACCAAGGATTATGCTTTTCTTCTTAAACTCACTACAAGAAAATAGATTATTAGCGTCCAAAAAATTAGAGACACAAAAAAATTGGACGCTAAAAATACATTTTAGCGATAAAAAATAAAAGTGGCCTCTAAATAAAATTAATGAACCCTAGCATTTAGATCTCTCTCCCCTACCCGGTTCACTCCCCTACCCGGGCCCACCTTATTTCCCTTTCGCACTTCTTTTAGCGACGACATGATTTAGCTTTGAAGCCCAAAACAATTACAAGATTACTACAAATTCCTCGAATCTATTACAGAAATGGGCTTGACTGTTAATGCTAAATGGGCCGAGGACCTAACAATAGGTTGCTTCTGGGCTTTCGAATTGGCACATTTACATTCTATGTTTTTCATTGTTTTATTTTATTTTCTTAATTTATGTGTGTGTAATTAACATAATAAAGGTAGGAAGGCATTCAATATGAGTAATGTTGCGTCCTGGAGTATTCGCGACGGTAGAGAACTATATAGTTTATCGTCTTAGCATCGTACGAAGATCCAACACACAATCAGATAATTGAGAGGGTGTATCATTCATAAGAGACACCAGAGCTTTTACTTGGAAAACCCCTGAAAAAGGGAAAAACCATGGTGCCTGATCCAGTTTGAATAAATCCACTAGTATTTGTTGTCGATTACAAATGAGGCCCCTCCTTGGGAGAAAGCCTTGACTTGATGGTACAAATGTACATCATATAGTACACATTACATAGTGGGAGTTACAATATATACATGATTATTTGATCGACACGATCATAATTGATAAGACAGAGGTCGGAAAGACCGTAGTTGTTAGGAGACCAAGGTGATGGCACAAATGTACATCATATAGTACGCATTACATAGTGGGAGTTACAATACAGACATGATTAATTGGTCGGCACGACCATAATTAATAAGATAGAGGTAAGAAAGACCGTAGTTGGTAGGAGACCAGTGTCATAAAGACCGTTGTCTGATGATGGAGGTTAGAATGACCATAGTAGGTGAAGGAGGTTGGAAGGATCGTAGTCGGCAGGAGACAAGGGTCTGGAAGACCATAATTGGCAGGAGACCAAGGTTTGAAAGATCGTTGTAGTAGGGAGGTACTCAAGTAGAACTTTGGGCGTCAGATGGTGGCCCAGCAGAAGTCCAGGCCTCGAGTGG